CACACAGAGGGCATTAGGCTGTGGAGTAGCAGTGTTTGGCAGGGTGGCCTAGAAGCAAATAATTCTGAAATTAATGGGGGAAAAGTTGATATGGTCTGATAGGGAGGGAGAGACTGCCCATATAGATATCAAGGGGTCATATCTATGGAAACTAATCTTGACAATAATGGTGGAAAGACTTACAGCGGCCTCTAAAAGGAAAGCTGTAGCATCATAGTTCAAGAGCAGGCGAGTAGGTCAGGGGAAAGGGTTATTAGATTTAATGGAGGATACAGGTCTGTGGGAATAGAAACTCAACTATCCCAGCATAAAAGAGCTATTATGAAACATGTGAAAGAGGTAAGAGAAATAGGAGAGTAATTGGGGAATGAGACAGTCAAGTGCAAGTACTAGGGTTACTGTCAAAAGGGGAAGAAATAAGGAAGGGCACTGTGATGACAAAAGGAGTTGTGCGTGTTTCCAAGAGGGAGTGGAAGGGATAACAAGGAAGGAAAGGGATATAGTGCTGTTGGAGCATGGGGGATGGGGTGCGTTAGGAGGAAGGGCTGTAGGAGGAGCACGAGGTGGAGGATGGATGGATGTCAGCAATCACGTCTAGTGTAGAGAGAATGGTAGCAGAAAAATTGGGGGGTGGATGAGGGATAGGCATGATTTGGGGTCACATTTAGGAAGTTTGACTGTCCAAGAATTCTGATACAAATAATATGGGAGGAGTGAGGTTGGCAGGAAGTTTGCCAGTGAGGTCAATCAGGGTAGATAATGCTGAAGCCTGGGACTTGGATGTAACTATGACAAGGCATAATGATGTGGAAGGAAACTTTCCCTGCAGGCTTTAGGAGACATCATTGGAAGGTATTGTCTGAGTAAGGGACTGTAGAGGGAATTGCATAAAATTGATCCGTCTTAGCTAGGCTAAAACGAGTAATCAGAAGGAATGTAGAGGAGAGTACCAGTAGGACAAGGATAAGGGGAAGAGGGAGTGGTGTTGATTGTATGCAACAATTTGGATGAAAATTAGTAATAAGGGGGGGGGGTTGGAAATGAATACTGGTGGATGAGGAGATAGAGTGGAGAAGGTTAGGTGAGAGGGAAGAATGTTTGTGAAAGTTGGGTAATGACCTGGTGGGTGACTTGGATAACTAATGGAAATACCGTGCCCATGGCTCCCTTAGGCCATTCAGGAATGACCCAAAGCCAGCATTTTATCCTTTCAACACAGCTCTCACAGAAGGAGTTGGAGAAGAGAAGGAAAGAAAAGGGGGAGAAATTAGTTGAACAAAGGGCTGAGGCCTAGAGGAGGGGAAATGCATAACAACAGGCATGGGACTGGGAGGGGGGGATATCAAATAATAATAGTAAAATAATGACAAAAAGTAAAAAAGAGTGAATACAGGCAGTTTTAACAAAGTAGTAACAAACAATCAGATGGTAAAACTATTTATGGGTGGAAGACCTATGATACCTGTTGACTAATGGGTATTCTCCTAAGTGTTACTTGAATTGTTCCAGATTACTTTAAATGGAAAAAATAAATGTATACCCATTTTATTGTTCTCATTTTAGCAAGGGCATACCAATCTTGTTTGGTCATTAAATTGGTGGTTCCATTAGGTGTAGTGTGCACTTTATCAGTCATCCTCAGCTATTGCAACAAATAATTTTGTACGGTCTTTTCTTATCCTTCTCTCTTCCACCCATATTATTCTCTACATTTGAAAGTGTAAAGAGTCGTGCTGAAGGATGAAGGCTGTTTTTTTTGTCAGTCCTGAACAGCGTTCATACTGTATTCTACCTTTTCATTATCATACTAACATGCAGCACTCAACCTTTTGACATTAACATAATTTGTCCTAATTGTTTACTCATTTACCCTTTTTGGCACAGCATTTTAACATTAATTTATTTATTGAAAATTTTTTCGTCAACTTCAAAGGTCATTAGCAGCATATACAAAATATAGCATATAGGGCATGGCATGGTGGCAAGGCCACCAGGTAATGAAAGTATTGTGGAAAAAAGGTAAAAATTGAGTTGACATTAAGACAAAATATTAGTAAAAGTTGTAGAGCACTATAGGATATTATGGTAGTGAATAGGGTAAGTGAGAATAGCAAACGAGTAGGAAGGCCATTCAGATTCAGTTTGTTTTAATTCCATTTGTTACAATGGATATTCTTTGCTGTGACTTACTTTATATAAGTCTCTTTTATTTTGCCCAAATCACCCCGTGTGCAAGGAATGGCCGGGGACACCACTCACTGGCCTGGGCGTGGGATTGAACGCAGGTCTGCAAGATTGCTAGACCAGCACCTTACCACTGCACCAACACAGCACACAACCTCAATCAGGGCTTGCACAACGCCAGCCCTTCATCCTTTCAGCATGACTCTTACACTTTAGGATATTGACAGAAGAAAAGGTTGACAAAGAGAGAAGGAAAAAGACAGGAAAAGACCACGCAAAATTAGTGAGGCAAGGGCGGGTCCAAAGCAGGGTGGACCCCCCACATTGGGCCTCAGTCCTCGTGTTAAGCACCCCTATGACAATAGACAGACAGGGATCAGGGGGCATTTTAAAATGGTGCAGTATGACCTTTCCTTACCTAGGGGCTTTGTCCCAAGCCTTACCATTTTGCTATATTTCTGAATACACCACTAATGACCTCAGATGTTGACCAGAAAATTTTCAATAACTGATGATATATCAGTTAGACTGAGGTTGTACATATGAGGAATGTTGTGGGTAAATTTATCCTCCAACAAATGAAAAGAATCCAAAAATAACTAAAGGCACTAGTTGAATAGGAAATGCCCAATTATATTTTTCCCACCTTGCCGTCAAATTTTCATAATTTGTTTCCCTCAAATGCTTGCCTCCTTTTTTTCTTACTATAATTAAAAGAATAGGATATTAAAACAGTAATATACATCTTTGAGTTTTTACTCTGCTTCTTTTCCACTAAACTGCGTAAAATATTTTATACATCAGTTAACATTCCAGGATCCAAATGAGACCCATATTTATCAAACTTAGTAATAAATGAAAATGTATGATATTTGCTGAGATAATGATGTGTTCCTAGTGTTATGTTTATGAGCTGATCTGAAATGATTCAATAAATAACAAGACTCATACTGACAAGATTTGCTGTCAAAGAGAAGACTTGCATGGCAAATCTTTAACTGCACTTTATGAAGGATTATCAAAGTGGGTAATGACGAATAAATTAATCCTTTTTTTTTTCTTTTCTTTTCTTTCTTACCTCTAAAGACTGTCTACTGGTTTTATGCTGTTCCTTGAACTAAACTTTTTTTGTTGTTGTTATCAATGAGACTATTGAAGGTTGCACCAATGATTTTCTCGTCATAAAAAGCAGGATAACATGCATACAGATAACACCTAAAAATCCCAATCAACGAAATGGATATTTCAAAAATGCCCTTAGTGTCAACCACTAGCTTGTGTCCAAAATATTTTACATTTTACATAAACTGTCTGAAGACATGCAGTATTGTTTAAAAAACTGATTTATAATGGATAAAAAGAACA